GCAGATTGGGGGGGGGTGGTGGTGACTAGTGCCAGTGGTCACTTCCCCCTACCAATGTTTCTAATGATAACCCAAACATTCAATACCTAATACATCATATTTTCTCTCTCTCTCCCTCCCTCCCTCCCATTTGCACACATGCACACACACACCCACTCCTATTCGTGTTGTGTGGTTGAGGTGATCCATCAGCTTAAGTTTAATAACCTTCTCCTCTTGAGGAAACAGGGCATCTTGTCTTTTCCCATCCATAATCAAAGATACAATCATTATCAGAAGGAAACCAGGTCTTGTTCCAAAAAAAAGCAGAATCTGTTATTTTGGAGCAGCTGGGCTGACGGGAGGGGGAGAGGGCTAGACTGAATATAGCAATCTGTTTGTCCAAACTCTGGAATGTTTTCTCTAGGGTTCCACTCACTGACCTCTTGTGCATTAGAGGAAACAAACTGGACTTGCAAGGCTACTCTCTAAGTTTCCTAATGGGGCATTCACTACTTGTAGAGCAGGGCTTTTTCAAAATGTCAGCAACTTTAAGATATGTGGACTTCAGCTCCCAGAATTCCCTTGCCAGCATGCTTGCAGACCACACATCTTAAAATTGCTGAGGTTGAGACACACTGCCACAGCAGTGTGCTGCAGCTGCTAAAAAAGCTAATGCCTTCCTGGGTTGTATCAACAGAGGGATATCCTCAAATCACATGAAGTGTGTTAGTACCACTTTCTGCTGTGCTGGTAAGACCACCCTTGGAGTACTGCATCCATTTCTAGTCACCATGATACAAAAATGATGTTGAGACTCTAGAAAGAGTGCAGAGAAGAACAACAAAGATGATTAGGAGTCTGGAGATTAATAGTATGATGAATGGTTCAAGGAACTAGTTATGTCTAGTTAAACAAAGAGAAGGAGTAGGAGGAACATGATAGTGACATTCTTTCAATAATACTTGAGGAGCTGTCACAGAGAAGAGGTGGTCAAGCTATTCTCCAAAGCACCTGAAGGCAGGCCAAGAAGCAATTGATAGAAATGTATCAAGGAGAGATCCAACCTAAAATTAAGGAGATATTTCCTGGCAGTCAGAACAATTAATCAGTGGAGTGGCTGCCTCCTGACATTGTGGGTGCTCCATCACTGGAGGTATCTATGGAGATTCGCAGAACTGAAGAAGCTTCTTAGAAGAGAAGCAAAACATCTTCAAGCAAAAACAAAGTCCAGTTGCCTTTTGAAAAGCATCTTTGGGACAACCATGGCCTGGATGATGGGGAATCTCCACAAACTACAAGTAAAAACATTAAATAAATGCTTCGCTCAGTGGCAGCATTGTGGCCACTGAGGTTTATCCAGGGCACAATATTACTAACTGAATACCTCCCAGTATTTGCGGTGGTCCCGTTAGCTGGGAAGCCTTGAAGTTGCAGTTGTGAACCATAGAGATCATGAGAAGTTGGGCAGAGCTGCTCTAATGTCTAAATTTTGTATCTTGACTTCTGAACATAGACTGAAGTCACAGCTTCTCTCAGAAATGGCCATGCAGGCAACTCTGGAAGGTTAGATCTTTCCAGATGTGCAGCATCTTCTTTGGCTCCCTTGTGGGCGACCATGTATGTAGTCAAAACAGAAGGACTGTTGTGTCTTGTGAACACAGATAGGCTGTGTTATGCGGACCATGGAGCTTGAAGCAAAACTGCCTCAAGGTTAAGAGAGGAGCGCAGCAATGTTCTTGGGAAAGCTTATCAGAACATTGGGAGACACAGTCAGATCATGTTCAGCAATTCTCCTTGTCACCATCCCAACCTGCATAAATAATGGCACGGATGTCATGCTGCACTTTGCTCTTGTTTTTCAAAGGTTACTCACTTTTATTTTTTATTGCCATGTTCCCATTTTTACAGAGCAACCTCCCTTAATTGCTTTTACTGTAGATCATCCAAAGCATATAATTAAAGATCAGCCTTTGAATTGATTTATTGAGATGCTCTTTGATTTGACATTTTTATGTTTGGAGGCTTATTTTTTAAATTATGGCCAAACGAAGTTTCAGATAAGTATCATTTAATGTAGGGAGACAGATCCTCCAGGACAACAGATACTATTTTATGCTTCTCTTGCTGAAGTGAAGCAATCAGGATTTTTCCTCTCTCTTCCCCATTATTTCTAATTAATTTATTTATTTTCTTCCAAGCTGGCTTTTCAGAAAAAGGTGATGGAGTTTCAGGGAGATATAAAAGCATTTTATTGTCTAGAATAACAAAATCCGGCTCTGGAGATTTTATGGCTGTGAGCAAGCCAATTATTAAAGCAAACACCCAGGAGTGGAAAATAAATAAATAAAGGCTAGAAACAGTCCATTTCAGAGAATTAGAGAAGTCATAATCACAGACTTCCTAGGGTTTTATTCTTATCTATGTAACGTGATGCAAGTCTGAAGGTTGCCTGGATCGGCTTAAATCTCCCTGGCAGTGCAGCTCTTCAGCGGAACATTCAGGACTCGGCAAGCTGTTCAGTTGCTCAGCTCAGACAATGGGCAGGGCTGACCCAGCTGGCTTCCTCTGGTATATAGCTGGATATTTCTAGCTGGATTTAACCAGCCTCATTAATACAAGGACCTAGAAAAACGTCTTTCTTTTTCTTAATTCTGTAGGGCAGGGTCTTTAAAACTGTGGTTGCTGTCCCTTCTCCTGGGTCACCTGGACAAGCCAACAGTCCTCTTGTCTAAGCAGAGCCCAGAACAAGTCTTGACCAGCTGAGGTTGCATTTGCAAAGCTGGATCGCGGTCTGTGCTCGCTCCTTGGCCTGACCCAAGTTGAGGTTTCCCATTGTTTCTGTTATGAAGAGGGAAAACAAATGTGGAATGAGAACTGGGAGCGGGTCTCTCAACAATAGAACCTAAGTTTCAGGACTTGTGCAAAACTAGGCAAGCTCATTCTTCCCATTAAAATAACATTATTTAAATGTTAATTGCTAGTGGAAAGTCTTTATTTTAAAAAAATTACAAGGTTCTGTCGCTAGGTTTGTTTGTTTGATAGTTTACTGATGAAAAGTTTTTATTACGTGCCACTAGCCCATAAAGTCATTAGCATTATTCATGCGCCGGACAGATTCATTTATCATTCAGGGCAGGGGTGGGTAACGACGGCCCTTCAATGACTTGTGGACTTCAACTCCCAGAATTTTTGAACCAGCTATGCTTGCTCAGGGATGCTGGGAGTTGAAGTCCACGAGTCATAAAGGGCTCATTGTTCCCCACCTCTGATTCAAGCTGTCAAGAATTTGAGAGGCCTTTCAGAACCCCTGAAATGCAGCACTTCTGTGAAATAGTGGAGCCTGGTCCGACCCACAGCCAGCTCTGCAGTCACCATTGGGGTCCCACAGCCAGTCAGCCTCCTAAGAGAAACACATAAAGGCAAGCAATTCCGCGAAATGACAAAATAGAAGACAACCATGAAGTCAATAGAGCATCCTGGTTGTCTAGGAGATATGGTTGGTTTGGTTGGTTGGTTGGTTGGTTGGTTTTTTTTAAAGGCAACCTCATTTGAATATTAGGAAAAAATTAATAAATTGCACAATTCCAAAAGCAACATGACCAGTAAAAACTGGAACAATTCAGACACTTTAGAGAAGTGAGCAAAGGTTATCAGAGCACCAACCAGAAAGTCAACCTCCAAAGAGAAATTAAAAGAAAGAGTGTTTAGTTTTGAAAAGCGTAGATTGTCACACTCAAAGGCAGGAATAATGGATGTAAGTTACCTAAAAGCCGATCCCATTTGAATATTAGGAAATATTACGAGGCTTTAGTATAAACTATAGTATGAAACATAGAGCTGGTCTATACTGAGTAGGGATGGGGAAGGTGGGGTGGAGAAGGGGAACAATGCCCCCACCTGTGCTGCTGCAATAGCTCAGCCTCTCTTTTTACCCAGCCTTTGTGATTTCCATTGTGACAGGGAGCACAATAGAATTCACAGCCTGCAAAATGGCTTCCATGGAGCCTCCAAATTAACATTTTAAAAATACATCATTTAATTTTTAAAAACGACATAGACTGCCAGAATTAATGAGAATTATCCTAAGAGATCTTACAAGATTTTGGGGCTGAGTAAGGTCATCAATGTTTAATGCTTTGTGCGCCATTTTGCCCTTGAGCATAGTGACCCCTGCCATATTAAAAGGATGGATGCCCTTTACTTTGTAGAGTATAACTAGTCTTGTAGGATCAGATTGAAAATATATAAAACATGCTTGTAAGAATGGTTGTCAGAAATCTAGTTGTTCAGAAATATAAAAGCATAATGATGGAAAAATCTCTGTTATGTTCTTGCAGCAGGAGATCCAGGGCTATACCGCTGCTCTGGGCATTGAGGAAACTTCCATATAATTCTAATGGTGAACATCAGCAGTCAGTACTGAATATCGAGAGGCATTCAGAGGAACACAATTCCATCTTGTCATACCAAGCGCGACAAACACAACAGCAGGAGGAGGAGCACTCATTTTAGGGGCAACCACAACCCCTGTGATGTCTATCACTCCCAAATGGTTTGCTCAAATCCTAACACATTGATTTTTGCAAACGCTAAAAATATTCCTTACAAATTTGTGCAGGCCTGCACGGTATTCTGCTGTGGAACCTTGGGGAAGAAGACTGGACTCTCAGGGTTGTCATGCAAAGTCTGGTTGAGATAGTGAGAATTTATAAAGTTATTTGTAATCATTTTCTTCGTATTGTATTTACACAACTGCCTGGGTGAGTGGGAGCTGCATTAAAATTCTGTCCTGCCCACCTCTCAGCCTAGGCTGGGCAGAGGAAGTCAGAGGGCCACCAGGGCATTCTGGTGTCTCCCCCAGAGTAGCAGCAGCAGTGCCCAAGAGCAGCAGGTTCATCAGGTTTAGTATTGTGAAAGAAGCTTCCATAAACTTTTCTTCCTTTGATGATATGTCCACTCATCCTATAAACTGTCAACCTGTGATGGAAAGTTTTCTTAGAACTCTTTTTTCCTTTCAGCCCGCAAGTTAAAGAAACTGGGTAACCTGAAGATGCAAGAAGAAGGGGAAACAGCAGGGCCATCGAGCCCCACTGAGGAGCAAGCCACAAAAATGCCCATCACGCACATCGATAGCCTGGAATGCCAGCCTATCTTCCTCAATGTCCTGGAAGCCATTGAGCCTGGCGTGGTTTGTGCAGGGCATGACAATAATCAGCCTGACTCCTTTGGCTCCCTTCTCACCAGTTTGAATGAGCTTGGAGAGAGGCACCTGGTACATGTGGTGAAATGGGCAAAAGCCTTGCCAGGTAAGAAGCATTTTTGTGTAGTCCAAGCTCCATTCAGCCCTGTCAGGATCTGAAGATGTTAAACAGGGAGTGTCTCGGGTGGTGGCGGCACTCGGTTGAAGTTGGGGAGACTTCCTGGCAATCTTAGAGCTGAAGGCTAGGCTGGAAGTGAAAAAACTTCTTGGAAGAAGGTGGTGGCTAACATAGAATAATAGGGTTTGAAGGGAGGTTGGAGGTCTTCTAGTCCAGCCCCCTGCTTTATTATTGCCACAAAAACTGCATGGAAGGGTCCGTGAGGAGTTGGATTTATCTTCAAGGAAACTTAACTGAGGGTACATGGCATGGATACATTCCTTGGTATCCATCAGGCTCCTGCTCACATTACTCTTTAACATTTTTAAATGCAAAGAAATACTAAGAGATCTATTGCCTATTTATATCTCTTGACTCCACATACTGTAGGTCCTGTTGGTATTTTGAAAAAAAAAGAAAAGGCTCTCAAAAAACAAAATGCATCCTTGAGCCGAAAAAGATTGTCACCCTGGAAGCAGCAATGCAGGTCTCCCTTTGGCCTTAGACCTTTGCTGGGATTGTGTCAGAAATCTACGCTGCGATGCAAAGATGCGTCTGCATCTTTTTGAAGTACTTCCTTTAGTTTGTCTCCCTCTCTCTGGCCAGAGAAGGTCCAGCTTTATTGGCTTCTTGGTGGCACGGTATTTCTTGCTCAGGTGTTATTTGAGGCTTATTTTGATTTGATTAATTGATTTGTACTCAGCTTCAGTTTGTTACACAAAATAAGTTTCTGTTCAAATATTACGTGGAGTTCCTTCTTCCATTATTGTGCATATTCTTCAAAATGAAACTTTGACATTTTCTTCCATTATCTGCTGTCAAAATAATAGGCAAAAAGCCAGTTTGAGAGGCAGCCCATGCAGAAGGGATCCATCAGAAAAGCAAAAGAAAAATCCCATGGCACCCATTCTATGGAACGAATGAAAGAATCCAGTTTTTCAAAACATTGAAGGGCCTTACAGGACAAGATGCTCCTTGAGAAGATCCATTCCAGACAGCTCTATGAGAGCTTAGCCTTCTGATTCTTTCCAAGTGATTTTTTCTTTAGGCACTGCCTGCAAGCAAAACAAAATTTAATAGGTGCAGCTGATAGTTCCATTCCCATCTTTGTCCAAAAGGCTCAAATGATGCACCTGAAACAGTGTGTTGCATAAAGTACACAAGGTGACCCTGTCCCAGGAAGCTCCAAGGACCCAGAGATCTCACAAAACCCCTCACATCAACCGTGACTCTTGCTCTGAGTTGTCTTGAACACAAGGCACTCGGGGCAGGTAATGGGGACCCCACAGGCCTTCTCACTTCAAACTCCCTGACCCACCTGGGTTCAGTATTTTGACATCCTATATTAAACCAATTAAATGGAAACCTGGTCTGCTGTGAAAGTAAACTATTAGCCATTAAGCCATAGCTTTATTCTCCCAGGTATTCCTAGGGAAAAGAGGGTGTGCCAATGCCTGGGAAAGACAAAAGAAAAAGCATCCTGGGGAGCAGACCTTAGGGGAGGAGTCAGAGATAATTTCAGATAAAGGGACAATTGGGGATGACATGTTTTGTGATAAGGCAATTCTTCTTCGCAAGCATTGTATAATGCCCTCAAAATTCCACCCCCCCCAAAAAAGGTTGTATTACCACAAGTGTCCTTCCCCTTAATCATCGCTTTGTCACAGAATGGATTTCCTCCCTGGGAACATCTGGGCCTCCAGATGCCTATTTATATTGCTCTGGATTCATGACAAAATGCAAGACAAAAAGGTACTAATAAGACGTAACTAGGAAGCCGAAGATTGAAATTCCACAAATACAATGGTGCTTAAAGTTTGTGAAGCTTTTGAATTTTCAGTTGTTTTAGTTGTGAAGTTGTGTCCGATCCATCACGACCCCATGGACAACATTCCTCCAGGCCTTCCTGTCCTCTACCATCTTCTGGAGTCCATTTAAGTCAGTGGTTCTCAACCTGTGGGTTGGGACCCCATGTGGGGTCGAACGACCATTTCATGGGGGTCGCCAAACAACGCAGTCCGCCATTTTTTCCCCCTTTTCCTTAGCTGTGCTACTCCCTTTTATTCTATTGGCTTTTTGAAAGCCAATAGAATAGACTCTCTTGAATAGAGTCTAATTCTATTGGCTTTCAAAAGCCAATAGGAATTGTCCAGGCTGTCTCTGCCCTGCTGAGCCCGCCAAGAGTCCCATTCTGCAAACGGTGGTGCACCAGTTGAGTAGTCCTCGACTTGCGACCGGTTGAGTAGTCCTCGACTTACAACCGGTTGGGGGTTGCGGCATTAAAAAGGTTGAGAACCACTGATTTAAGTGAACGCCTACTGCTTCAGTGACTCCACCTAGCCACCTCATTCTCTGTCGTCCCCTTCTTTTTTTAAAAAAAAACAAATTTTATTGGTTTTTTAAGTTCTTAAAGCAACATATTAAGGACACACCGTGGTGTTGGGATGGAACATTCAAAAGATCTTTAAAAGGAAAATAAAGTTTACTCTTCAATTATTCTTATTGGGTATTTTTGTGGACTTAAATGACAAAGAAATTATTTTAATGTTGAATTTATTAACTGCTGCAAGGTTACTAGTAGGCTCATATTGGAAGAAAGATTTGTTGACCACTTTAGAAGAATGGATATTTAAAGTTTCTAATTTTGCAGAAATGGCAAAAATTTCTGCTTATTTGAAGGATCATACACAAGAAAGATATATTATTGTATGGAGAAGATGGATAGATTATATTCAGAAAAAGTATGGGACTACAAAGTTTCATTTATTTTATGAGTAAATTTTATAGTAAATGTTGTAGAAGATTTGTTTATGATGATGTAATTTAAGGGGAGTTAAGGGCTAAGTATGATTTTTTTTCTTCCTTTTCTTTTTTCTTTTTTTTCTTTTTTTTATTGTATTTTTTTTTATTAATAACCCTGTACTCTACTCTGGGAAGTGAGGTGGGAGGGTTGGGGGTGGGTGGGTGGGTGAGTGGGTGGGTAAGGATAATATAGATATAGTAGTTTATGAGAGAGGTGCTGCTTAGGCATTTCCCCTATGCTGCGTTCCTGTGTTTGAGAGGGATGAGAGGGGAGGGAGGTGTAGGGAGGAAGTAGGATGGTAAGAGGAGAAGGGGAGGGGAAGAGAGTTGGAGGGGAGGAGAGAAAGAGGAGGGAAGTAGGGAAGGTATTAGAGAGAGTGGACGCAGCCTGGGGGGAATGGGCAAGCGGCACCAATGGTTATGAATTTATCTTATCTTGTAAATTGTATTATGTTGAATAAATGGAAAATAAAAACTTTTTATTAAAAAAAAAAAAAGAACAGTCAGGGTTGATCTCCTCTAGGACTGACCGGTTTGATTGCCTTGCAGTCTAGGGGACTCGCAGGAGTCTTCTGCAGCACCATAGTTTTGCGCTCAGCCTTTCTTATGGTCCAACTTTTGCAACCATACATTGCAACTGGGAAAACTATGGCCTTGACTATATGTACTTTTGTTGGCAGGGTGATGTCTCTGCTTTTTAGTATGCTGTCTAGATTTGCCATAGCTTTCCTCCCCAGGAACAAGCATCTTTTAATTTCTTGGCTGCAGTCCCCATCTGTGATGGTCTTGGAGCCCAGGAAGATAAAATCTGTCACTATCTCCATTTCTTCCCCATCTATTTGTCAGGAATTGAGAGGGCCGGATGCCATGATCTCAATTTTCTTAATGTTGAGTTTCAAGCCAACTTTTGCACTCTCCTTCTTCACCCGCATCAAGAGGCTCTTTAGTTCCTCTTCACTTTCTGCCATTAGAGTGGTATCATCTGCATATCTTAGGTTGTTGATATTTCTCCCGGCAATCTTAATTCCAACTTTTGATTCATCTAGCCCTGCCTTTCTCATGATGTGCTCTGCATATAAGTTAAATAGGCAGGGCGACAGTATACAGCCTTGCCGGACTCCTTTTCCAATTTTGAACCAATCAGTGGTTCCGTGTTCGGTTCTCACTGTTGCTTCTTGACCCGCATATAGGTTTCTCAAGAGACAAATGAGATGGTCTGGTACTCCCATCTCTTTAAGAACTTGCCACAATTTGTTGTGATCCACACAATCAAAGGCTTTTGCATAGTCAATGAAGCAGAAGTAGATGTTTTTCTGGAACTCCCTAGCTTTCTCCATGATCCAGCGTATGTTGGCAATTTGATCTCTAGTTCCTCTGCCTCTTTGAAATCCTGCCTGTACTTCTGGAAGTTCTTGATCCACATATTGCTGGAGTCTAGCTTGTAGGATTTTAAGCATAACTTTACTTGCATGTGAAATGAGTGCAATGGTGCGATAGTTTGAACATTCTTTGGCATTGCATTTCTTTGGAATTGGAATGTAAACTGACCTTTTCCAATCTTGTGGCCACTGTTGAGTTTTCCAAATTTGCTGGCAAATTGAGTGTAGTACTTTTACTACATCGTCTTTTAAGATTTTGAATACTCAGCTGGAATACTGTCATCTCCACTAGCTTTGTTGTTGCCCAGCTTTCCTAAGTCCCATTTCACTTCACATTCTAGGATGTCTGGCTCAAGTATTTCTGCATAAATGTGACCTAAATGTTATTTGATCTCCAAGCCAGTACCAAAACTAGATAAAGTCAGATTAAACAAATGAGTCAAAAACATTGATCAAGGAAAATGATCCAAAGTGGTGTATTTATGTGTGGCAAAAATATGTCTACCTTTGCTTTCAGCATCTAGTCTCCCCCCCCCCCCACACACACACACACACACACGTAGGCAGCAATACTTGCAGCTGAATGTTTCTGCTAATTGCTGATCAGTCCCTCCCATCAACAAAGGAATTCTGGAACTCCTTCTTCCAGCATAGCCTCCTGACTCTAACTTCCCCTTCGAATGAACTGGTCATTCTAGAGGTTTACATAGTTTCACTACACACAAATATGTAGCTTTGGATCATTTTTCTGAATAAATAAATGAAGGT